CATGACATAGTTTGACAGTGCAAACATACCAGTTTTCCTGAAGGTATTTTAATAAAAAACAACTAATCCCCCAAATGACCTTAATTTTAGTTTGTACATTCCTCTGGACTTATCAGAGACAGAACTGCAATATGCTGTGTTAAGCAACAAAACTTTCATCATTCTAGCTAAGATTTCAGTACAGGGAAACCCAGTGAAAAGAGAACTTATAAACTGTTAATACATTAGAAAGCAAGAAGCCCAAGGGAGAAAAGTAAAGCAGCAGGATTTGGTATTATTTCTCCCCAAAACAGGGGAAGAGGAACATTAGTTTCATGTAACTCTAGAGCAGGAATCCCTCCAAAGGCTTAGAGAGATTTTGAAGTGATAGAAAAATGACACCCATTTTTCTTAATTTAAGAATACCGGTACAGAACACTGTTCCTACACAGGTTCATGCTAGGTAGAACATACTCACTCTAGTCTAGGCTACAATTTTGAAAACCTCTAGAGAAACGGAAAAATGCTGCAAAAAGTTTCTTTTTTATTCATGCTGCAGACAGATCCTTAAACTGTTAATCTTATTTTTAACTAATCACTGCAAAGTTTGTCTACTCATCTTGTGTTCTGAACAACACATCAGTTTGTATTTAGTATGAATAGTTTTCTACCAAAATAAGTACTTTTGCCAAAGAATTGTATCTAATGGGACATACCAAAGGGGACCATCGCTGAACCTGAGGATTAGATCCGGGAAAAACAAAATTCTTTTTCTATTATGCATTAACAGCTGGCTTTTGCAAGTTAACAGTCAGGTTACTGTAATTTTTAATTCAGGTCTGGAACGTTAAAAAAAAATTATCATACTTCTCGCATCCGGGGACTCACAGTTTCCTGAGTATGTAGCTTTAGAGTTAAATAGTTTAAGTATGGGACTAGGTTATTACACAAAAAATTTCAAGGAACTTCTTGTAAGAGAAATGGTGTGAGATCCCGTTCTTCCTACCAAAAATACAAGTGTTTTAAAGAAATTATTTAAAGGTATTCTATATTCATTCCAGCTTTTTGCTCTTCTTGATTGTGAAATTAAAACTTATTTAAGCTTATTTCAACACTCATGATACTCCATGCCAAAAAAAAAAAAAGTTGGTTTTGTTTTTTTTGGGGTTATTTTGTTTGTTTGTTTTGTTTTGATTTTTTTACTTATTTTTTCCCCTGCTTGATCAAATTTACCAAATGAAGAATCTAACCTAACTGCTACAACTCCCCAAAATACTCTCTGTACCTCTCAAGGTAAAGAGCTATGTGAATTCTCTTGGCCACTTTTATTAGAGGAACTAAAAATCATAAAATAAAACAAAAGTAAAGTCAATCTATCTTCATAATATAGGATTAATGCAGTAGCAAGAATAAAACAGGGAAATGGAAAATCTCTATAGCACATTAGCTCTTTCTTCAAATTGAGTATTAGTGGCAGCAATCAGTCTCAAGCAACTCATGATTCTGCTACTCAAGGACTGAAAAGAAAGGGAATAGAAAAAGATGAGCTTGTAATTAAAGATGGGAGAAAGTTTATTTGCTGGGATTGAAAAATTTAATGTCTCACCAGGCTAGCCTATAAAAGAGAATGAAAATACTCTAGACTCTTTCCAGAAAGCAGTCTTGGTGTATTATGTACAGCTCTGAAATGAAACCCATTTAAACAAAACTTTTTCACAGTTCAAACGATTAGAAGAAAGAAAATCTACCACTTTGTGCTCTATGTATGTAGTAAATACTGGCTTATACAGGAGATTTCAAGAAACTTCCTATGCACAGGACTTTGTCAAAATTGCTCTCATCTTCAGCAGATGTTTGTGTTCTAAGACTGGTGAAGTTCCACATTTTTTATTCTAAAAACCACATCACAGAATCTGTTTCTAGTTTAAAACAACCCGAAATTGTTCAATTAGAATGTGTAATTTAAATTGAAAAGCACTGATTAATTTCTCAACTTACTGTTGCAAAAATCTTAGTTTCTATTCAGCTAAATAGGAATCTCTTGGCATTTTATTTATGGCGACTCATAAATGCCTCATACACCGTCTGACGGATGGAAGGTTATACTTTTCTTAATTTCTATCACGTTGTTTATGTCTAGCTAGACTGTCACAGTAACTACTATTTTGCAGTATCATGACGTATCAATCACCAATGATTAAACACATATTTCCCAAACTGGGTTGTATAACAATATTCACGTTAAACGAAGATTATTTAATATTGCAAGCAAGTCCATATTCTGAACTTATCTCCTCAGATATGTACATCCTAAGAAGTGGCACTTAAGCTAACCAGAACTGCTGAAAATGCTACCATATTGGGACACTGCTACAGCCATACTATAAAAGTTCTGCTTTTGAAAGAATTACTTGCAGAAGTTGCATTATTTACATTTTCATATTTACTATCATACTATATTTTATCATTATCAAACACTACACAAAAAAAGAAAAAAAAAACAACACAAAAACCTGAAAACAAATATACAGTTAAAACAAGCCATTCATAACATTCTCCAAATTTAACAACTACACAGACTGAAAACTTTACATGTACTTTTTGGCCAACGCTTAACATTCCAAATTAAACAAAGTAGTACTTCAATAAACAGTTTTTACACAATAAAATCAGAAATTACTCTTTTCAATTGTTTTAGTGACTAGTAATAGTTCAACGACAATTCTCTAACCCATCACATAAGCCTGAATTTAGTTCTGGGTAAATTTATCATAATCATCATAACCCAAGATCAATAAGTGTAATTATGCAGCAATGGCCATATTAAAAGACTTCCACTGACATCAATCAATTTTAGAGTGAACCTTCCGACCTGTCATAATTTCCTTCATTTTAACAATGTAGGTAATGTAAAAAAAATACAAAATAGAAGTGGTTTTCAATAAAGACTTACCCTATAAAAAGCAGTCGTCAGGGGTAGCAAGGCTGCAGCAATGCTATATTCTTCTGAAGATGAACAATCCTTCAAGAAAAACAAGAAAATAAGCAAAATAATTTTCAATGTAATGCTATATAATTTCATTTCTGCCTTATGGAGTCCCTCTGATAGCCTTCCTATACACACTGTAATTTTTAATCACTTGATATCATGTAAGAATAACTTATATTTATGTGTATGCATGTGTGTGTATATATACATATCTTCTCTCGATTTCTGCTAGAGAGGTATTGCTATGATTCTTCCCATTTAAGGAATTTATTAGCAGCTTTCTCACTCCCATGTCCAAAATACAATTTCACCAAAGTAGTTTACATATAAAAAGGAAAGTATTCCTCGTTTAGGAAACAATAAATTCCTCGTTTAGGAAACAATAAAAATGTAGTTTACTTCCATTGGGGTCAACAGCAAATCTGACTAAAATGGAAGTGATTTGATGGCCAAAGAATGCACTCTCAAAAAGTTTACACAAAGAAATAGACATTTATTTAATATGAAATAATCACCTCCACTGCCTCTACAAAAGTTTGGCACAAGGTTAACTTTAAAAGAAGATGAAAACGCATTCTCTTCATGGTCTTGGAATGCCTCATTCAACAGTCAAGTGTGTCATTTGTGTCTCTCTAGGCTGAAAAGGGTATGCCAAAGTAAATCAACTAGTAATTGCACTGATGAAATAGTGATTTTATTGCGGAAGTCTTTTAAAAGAAACCAGAATAGGAATGCAACTTAATATTTAAAAAACAAACTACTTGAATTTTTAAGACTTTTTTTAAAAAAATGTAGAATAAAAAATACTCAACAAGAGTTAAAAAGATCCTTATTTTTAAGTCCCTAGATTTTTTTCATTAGCTCTTCTGCCAACACTGAAGAACACAATAACGCACATAGTTCTTCTAGACAAATGTACCACCATTGTGCCCCTGGATGATGAATGGCAAAACATTTCCATTTGTACAATTCATTTCACTACTTTTAACATTCATTCTTACAATGGGCACCCTCCAACTCAAACCACACTCCTGTTAACTATCTATAACATCTGACAAAATACCAAAATTGAAGTATCTCAAGTCTTCCTCTGCCAGAATTTTCATTTATGCCTTCATCTCATATCAGAGTTCTCTCCCTAACACAGCAACTAGCAAAAACCTGGCACCAGCCAACTGTGATAGCAGAAATATAAAACCTGCATTACAGGAACAATCACGTTAAGGATCATTAGGATGTTATTTGTATTCATCTCACCCTTCTTTCTTAAATGGCTGCTGAATGATTATGGGCTGCAGGTTTAAAACAGCAAACCAAAAAACTTATCACAAGACTATTTTGCTTCTCATTGCTTTAAAAGTCCATTTCATCCTTTGTGATTTTCCAATAACAAATACTTAATCTTATAATACTTTAATCAAGCTCACCTAAACAGAATACCAATGTCCACACACAGCTAAATACAGTAGCATTTAGAAAACCACTTACATATTTATTCTGAAAAGGTGTACAATAAGTTCATAGATGTGAAGCTTGATTTTTCCACAGTTACTGAAGGTTTTAACATGTCTAACTCTGCATGACTGCATGTATGCTAACTTTGCGTGGAACACAAAAGGTGTGCAATTGCTCACACTTCGTAACACATTCCAATCTGGTAGAGGAAAACAGTAAGAAAAGTGGACACTGAGAAACTCAACATATGTTTCAATGATGCCTATAGTATTGTGACACATATATAAAAAACCCGAATTAGTTTGTAAGATGTCAGAACAGTAAGACTAAAAGACATAGCCCCAGCTGCTTTTCATTTTCAATTTCTGCATTATATCCTATTTTTATCCATATCCTTAACCCTCATTTGGAATTTAGCACAATGATTTGTAGCTTAATAGAAAGATATGATAAATATTGTTAGTATTTTTTCACTTAATCAGAAAGCTTCTCATTTAAAATGAGACTTTACAACTGTAGGAATGCTTCACCGTTTTCAAGGAAATATGTATCTTATTTCTGTACATGCTTATATATAACCAGGTATAAACTGATCCATCCTCATTGTTTCAAGTTATCTACTTAATCCCTTAGCTCAAATTATTTGTACGAGCTTTGGCTTTTATCCAAAATATACATAAAAATATCTTTATAAAAACTGAACAACGTATCTTCACCTAGAGAGCATTCAATATTCCAAGAGCTAACATATGTCTCAAAGATATATATCATCACCACATAAACAACACAGTAGATTATTTTTCCATTCTTTCTTGCAAGTATGAAATTCTCCACATATTCTATGTCAGCAGTACCCCCTGGACTTGTGCTATGGAAGTATTATCTACATATATTTTTTTTTCCTTTGCCAGCATATGGCAAGAAATGTAAAATGATCTCAGTTAGGAATAAAGTATAATAGTGCTGTTTTAAGAATAGTGAAATTAATTAACTGTTTATCTGCTTTGCAGCTGCAAGACAGAATGCCATAGTTAACAGAGATGTTGCACTGAAATCTTAGTTTCTCAGTTTTACAGGCAAACCAAAGTACTGGAAATATCACATATGTATTGCATGCAATTAATTTAGACTCCTAAAACAAAGCAATCCAGCTGCCTTATAAATAATAATGTCTCTACCAATTGTGAAAAATATCTCTTACTTCTGCTACATAAGTAGACAAATCAAGTACCATAAAATAATCAAAGCTAATTTGCGCAAAATGAAGCCGAAACACACCTGGGGAACAAAAATTATTCTCAGCAAATTAATTTCCTAAAAACATCATCTTATGACAGTGAAATATGGACTTCCACCATGCCATGTGCAGCCTACTACTTTGAATCCATGCCTGAGTAAAGACCTGGCACGTTATTCTGGCCATACTGATCTTATATGCAGATAGCTGCTGAACTCTGTAGCAGATTGGAAGTGTTACAGGAATTCATGTACATTTAAAATAGTTTTGCTAATTAAATTATATTTAATATTGAAAATATTTAATATTTAAAATAGTTAATGATTGAATATTTAAATAATTTAATATTCAAAATAATAATTTAATATTTAAAATAATAATTTAATATTTAAAATCATTTTTCTGAATTGACAAGTGAATAATAAAATGAGAATATTTTTCCTTACATTACTTACTTTGATAATAAATGTGATTTACTTTTATGTTCTGCTTGGTTTAATATGCAGCAAAACTTCAGTGGTTAGATGCTGTCATTACATTGCAGAACTGACAGCTAGGAAGTTACAGACCACTTGGATGGACACATGGTACTGTTAGTAGCTGGTGAGGCACTGACAGTTTTTGGAATCTGGTAGGTGGCTTAGGCTTCTTCTACTGGAGAGGAGAGGCAACTCTTCTGCTCATTCTTGACTTCAGAACAAGTACTGACCTGAACTTTCCTTTAGAAAACAAGGTATTGTACTTGATCATTAAGTTGAGATGCCCTCCACCAATCTGATACTAGTGATGAACAGCTAATAAAAGTCACCCCAGGTAAAGGTGAAGGTGCAGGCCCAGATTCAGCAATGCCTGCAAGCACCCTTTGATGTCCCACTGACTACAAGAGCAAGGCAAAGTCGGTGAAGCACAGTGACAGTGAAGCATATGCTTACATACCTTCCTGAGCAGGCTGCAGTACTGATACTTAGGGATTTCTACTTTCTCTTAGTCACATGACAGAAAATCTAGGAGATATATATTAAACATCTGATAACATTTAGAGTGCAATTTTATTTTTAAATCCATCTTGATAGTCTTTCTCCTTAATTGCTAGCTGGTACAGTATGTATCCTGTGTTAAACCACATTCTGCTTTGGGCAGTAAGCTTTACAGACCAACACCATATTTTTAACAATCTACAGAAATCCGAGTATGCTGAAAACTTGTGACCCAATTTTGCTTTACATTCAGCAGCACTATAAATAAATGGAATTACATGGAATTACCCGCAGGCCTATTGCATGCAATTAATGTAACCTGCAGCAAATGCATTCAAACCAAAAAGCTAAACATGGCAGCTCTGCATCCATGCTTTTTTGGCAGTGCAGTACGATGCATGCATGCTCTATTAAAAATACTGCTAAAGGAACCCTCAACACTGCCTTGTCCCTCTTGAGTATTGAATGCTGAAAATTTTCATGAAGACCGAGAGCATTCACCACCATGTAGGACTAAGCTCATGAAGAATCAAGAAAAAAATGCGAGAATCTTTAGAGTCATTTAGAGTCAGAGTTTTTATCAAAGAAAACCTATTCCATGTTAATTGATGTTATGACCAATGTCCTTGCTATTCAAGCTCAGCAGAGTTAAAAATCCAAGTAAATAAACAGACAGTTTCACAATGTACTGATTATTTCCAATATAATTATACGATGCCTTGAAAGAAAGGTGAAAACAACATAGTCCTATTTGGAATTTCCAATGTGACTTTTAAAAGTATTAAAATACAAGTTTTAACTCCACAGATAAAGCCATCATCTGGAGCAATAGTCAAAATGACATATTTTGCTGGAATAAACGCTAATACGACACTAGTTACTTACATTGCTTATTACTAACAGCATATAATTAACTTAAAAAAAAAGTTTGGAATCTTCTTATTGAAATCATAAGCAAAATTGTTTTTTTCAGTGAAAATTAATGTACAGTTACCTTCTTTCTAACATTTATATACTGTTTTGCCTAGTGAAGTTAACATCACTGCTAGCCGCTGCTCTGTTTTATAATGGGATCAAAGTTTTCTTTTTTTTCTTGTAACCAAAGGTGAAATCAAACCTTATTTGAGACAGCTACAATTTTGTTAAATGCACCTCTTCTAGGAGTTGAGAAACAGGATGGAAGACAGACATACCTAGGAGGCCCATATAGCTGACTACCTGTGGACTTATTTATCAGCAGAACTACAAGAACACACTCAAAACTTGGAACATACTGCCTTATGTAATTCTCATTACTTTAAAAACTTCTCATTTTCATAAGAACAGTCTTTCAAAATTATTAACTCACGAAACCCCTCTTCCTT